CTCCAACGGGCTCTTGCAAAGCGGACCAAGTGCCCTTAGAGACTGTAGAAAGTCGTGGATAAGTACCTCTTCATCCTCGCTCAGATTCAAAGGGACGATTCCAATTATCCTTCGTACACTACCACAGTAACCCTCTTGTGTAAACTCGCGAAAGAGCGAGTTCTTCATGCTGCCCATGGCAGTGTTGGCAATAATGTGACAGCCTCTAGACATGGCCAGGAACTCAGGCATGCCCTCGGCCATACAGCTGGCTTGGAAAGCGAGAGCCACCATGGCGGCAAATCGTGCATCTCCCTCGGCTTGGGAAGAGCAAGGCTTGCTTAGACTGGTGTTGAGACACTGGATGGCCTTGACACGGTGCGCAAGGGCCTGTGAAGAGCAGTTGCCGCCGTGCAGATCGAGGTGTGACGCGGCCAACCCGAGCATGGCGTGCATCAGGTAGTCATACTATGACCCTGTCAGCAGATCGCCAAAGATCGTATACATGTTGATGTCTCACACTATGCGAAAGAGACGCCGTCTGCATCCAAATCTGGTCCCCCTGTATTGGCAATGGGGGGTATGCTGTGACCAGAAAATGATGAAAGTACCGCATATCCTCAGGGGTGAACACCGTAGGCGTTGACTGTAAACCCGCTGTGACCGCCGTTGTGGACGTTATCGAAGCCGACAGTGCTGATGCCATGCGAGGTCGCTCAGGATACTCACACACCAAGCCAACACGGGTGCAATTCAAGCAGGAAGGAATAGTTTCCTGACATTTGACCTTTCGTCTTTTGCAGTGAAAGCACCCCAGCCGTGACTTCGTGTGCCCTTTTCTCGGTATCGGCGGGCGGCGGGCGCGGGCGCGGGTTTCCGATCCCTCAGTAAGCGGTGTGCCGACAAGTGAGATTGATGCGGACGTACATTCCGGCCCAGATGCCAACCCGGAGTCTTCTGCTGACTCGGGAATTCCCCCAGGAGAACATGTAGAGCATGGGACCCAATGCTCGGCGGTAGGTGATCGGTGTTGATGAACCATGTTACCTAGTTCGAGGTGCCGCATGTAAAGTGGGCGTTGGCTAAGGATCTATTCTGGGGACTTTGGGTTTAGATAATGTTCAAGAACATGTTAACGTCAACAAAGTGCTGGGTGAGGTTGTCGTGGACCCCTCCTGTCAGGGGGAATTCGGCCAGAAACACTACGATCAAGGTATAAACCCCGGATGACGCGTAGCTTAGTTTGTGTAACGCTAGTGACTGTATTATACGTTACCGATAATCTCATTCAGGGCTGTGCAGAAAAGGAACACGAATCCCTGGTCAGCTACATGTTGGTGGTTGGTTGGTGCTAATACGAGCAATACGCAAGGGTTAGGGGTATTGGCGAAGAAAACACACAGCAACGCAGGATATCTCCATAGTGCACAAAAGTATCAAAATGGATTTAACAAGGCAAAATTAGAGCAAACCATTTCTCAGTTCTAGAAGCTTAATGCGACGACATTTAATGTCAGCCACCATCTGCCGGGTGCTCTAACGCAGATACGTAGCTGGATGCGCGGACTTCTCTTTGATGGCCAATCTCGTCTGCAACATCCGCCTGTCTCTCTGGTCCTTCCACTCCTGCTTCTTGCCCTTTTCCACAACAGCCCTGTGCTTTTCAAGCTCTCCCGAAGATCTGACACCCAGACCAGCGACATCTCTGCCGATGATTGCTCTCCCTCTCGCCTTCGGGTTGGGATCCCGCAGCGCAACCACAGTCTGCCCGTTCCCGTCTTCATCCACATCCATGACACCCTGCCCTTGCTCGTTGGCCTTGAGCAGCAGCCTCTCCGCCCTCTCCTCCGGAGTGGGGTACTTGTACAGGTTTTGCCTGTAGTACTTGTTGAGTGATCTGTGGCCGACCGCCCTGCCACTTCCAAGGTGCAGTTCGTAATCATCATAGAAGACCGCGTGGCTCTTCTTGCTACGAGCATGGAACCCATCCGCCTGTTGGTGCGTCCTCGGCGTGCTTGATGAGTGGTGATGATTCTTCGACAGCCTCTCATACTGGTGAAGATGCAGCTCTGCCGGAACAGCATGTAAATCATCTGAATCCAGTGATGACTCATCGGAGTCTGTTTCCCAGCCTTCACCGTTGCCATCCTCCATGATCTCATCACCGTTTTCGTCAACTGTAACCGTCTTGGTGGCACGGTGGCCGCCGAGCTTCGCGCCGCCGTTGGTGTCAGCGCCCTCCATTTCCTCATCTTCATCCTCCCACTCTCCTTCCTCGTCATCAGAGTAGGTGGCACGGAAATCGTAGAATTCACCAATGTCGAGCTGCTCGTCTTCGGTTGTGAAGGGGATCTGGACGTGGGCCTTGTCGCGCATGTGGGTTTGGACGGCGTAGGTGCTGTTTCTCATCTTGGAGCAGGTGATGCACTCATTGAGGTCAAAGACACGCTCTTGAAGGTGGTTGATCAAACCCTCGAGGTCAACAAGGTACTGCTTTTCGGGGATGAACATGCCGTGGGTCTTTTCCATGTGCTGCGCATTGAGTTCAGGGTTCTCGGATTCGTGATTGCAGAAAATGCAAGTCTTGACAGACCGAGGAGGGCCAGTCGGTTGTTGCGGGACGGCAGGAGTGGCTGTAGAGGGGGTGGCAGATCCCTCCTCTTCCTCGCTGGGAGTCTCCGAGACAGGGTGTTCAGTTTTGTGTTGAGCGGCGGCTGACAAGTGAGGGTTCGAGGGGCGTCTGACCGGGGAGACGTTCTCAGTTTCATGAAGCTGCGTGTTCTTGATGCCCTCAACCACCTCGTTAAACTCTTCCTCTGCATCAGAATCCAATACCGAGTCTGCAGGGGCTGGCTCGCCAAGCGAGAAGGTCATGGAACTGGCATCGTCGGCGATCTTGCCCTGGGGACGAGCCGCAAGAGCAGCAACCTTGGCCTTGTGCTTGGAACTGGTAAGATGGTTCTTGTAAGCGCCCTCGCTGAAGTAATTCTTCTGGCAAGCTTCGCAAGCTCTTTCGAAGCCGGCCTTGTCCGCCTGAGCAGTGGTGGCAGCGCGCGCTTGGAGGACCTTCTCGGTGAAAATCTCGGAGGAAATGGGAGGCAGCGAGGCGACACGGCGCTTCAGGTTGTAGCGACTGTGGAAAGTGAATGTAAGCGTTTGAACCACATGCGCCGAAGCAATCAAGGTGGGAGAGAAACTTACTGCCAGTCACTGCGCATATGACCTCTCTGCAAATCGCCATTGCGGAAGGCAACCTGGCAGGTATTGCAAGTATAAGGATGCGAGGTTCCAATATCTGTCCCGGAAGCGTCACCGGGGACAGTCCGACTACCAGTGATAGTCGCCATGGCTGTAGAATATTTCGTTTCTCGAATCGAAGGGTATCGCAAATTGGTGCTTGATGTCGTGCTCGACGGATGGCGGGGTCCTTTTTTTATCACCAAAACTGTACCGAAAATAAGAACAATGGGCTCTTGGGTTGGTAGCTGTCGCGAGAGAAGAGCAGAGATACTCCCAATGGTTTGAGGGCCGAGTGATGATTAATACACAATCACGGGCAAAAGGTATTAATAACGAGGCGTCCTCGCAATTTTCTGGTGGCGGTCCCGACAAGTGGGGGCGGTCGTGTGGGCAACTGTGGACGTCACAAGTCTTGGCAATGTGGGAAGCCCTCGGTCACGGCGCCCCACTTTGTATTCAAGAATCGAACTTTGACCACCAGTGCTTCGTTTGTTTACTCAAGATGAAGACGTCTTTTGCAACGTCATATCGAAGGTTTCACCCTTTGGCCCTGTTTTCAACTGAAACGGGTCTCGCCCAGTTGTTTGCTCGTCCTTCTTCCCATTACAGAGCCAGTCGGTTACCTAATGTGGCCAACAGTTAGGAACATGTGACACATCTCGCACCTACCAAGACAACGACCAAGAATATGTAAATTGTAGTTGCGTCCTCCTGACTAACGAAAACACTGGTGAGTCAGACTCTCACACTACGCTTCCAACTTATGCCCTCACGATCCCTCATGATAACCATTCCGGTAGTAGGCCCTTCGAATGCCCAAGCTCCGTGCCTTTGCGCTCTGAAACTACACGATAGGGGACGAGATGTGCGCACTGATATACCTCGCCACAGGCGGCTGCGCTCAGAATCATCCTCCAACACTGACCTGGAGGAGCACCTGGGACCTTGACCAGCACTCCACGTCGTCAATGCAGTGTTTGATCTAGAATTAGTTTATGAGCATCCTCATCTTTTTAACAAGAACTCTCTTGAATGGAAACCTATTTGCCAGTTGGGCTTGCCTTGTCGTGTTACTTACTGGAGCCCTGACTTTAAGAAAGTAGGTTGGTAGCGAATTCTCTACCTTGGTGTAGTATCACTACTGTGTCCTATAAGAAACAACGCAAGTTCCACAAACCTCCACCCGCCGCTGGGTCGAGCCATCATCCTCACCAACAGTCGCCAGTATTGGATGAACTGAATCGCTCTGCCCTTCCTGACACTCGCACACAAGCTGCTCCTGGCCCAGGCAGCACACCGCGGCAGAGGTCTCTGGGACGCACGGGGCGGAGATGTCGACTTGGAGGACTTGAGGAGGAGAGGAGGTTAGCCGCAATAGCTTTGGTAGTAAGCTCTAGAACAATACAAAAAACATCTGTCCGACTAATCCTCTCATATTCAAGTGTTGCTCGCTAGAGCCGAGGACGTACCTATTTAATTGATATGGGACCCCCTGATACTCACCTAAAGAAAGCAAAACAGAGACATTCCTTAAGCCTGCTAAGACCTACAGCACCCACTTCCTCCAACGTCTCCAAAGAGACTGCCAACCAATAGCCCAAGCAAACTCCCTCCCCCTACACTCTCCAATATCTCACGCACTCACATAAATAGCACCCGAAATAAACCCTCACTTGAACCCCCAGAAAAAAGAACACAAACCTGCAACCTGAGTTTGCCTTTCCTCCTTGTCTGACCCAACCAACCAACTAACCCCTTCCAAAAATAAGCAAAAGAAAAACGGGCTCAATCGGGGATCGAACCCGAGACCTCGCACATGCTCATCATTTTTGATTGGGAATGATGGGGAAACAACCCGAAGCGCGAATCATACCACTAGACCATTGAGCCAGTGTTGTTTACTTGGCTGAGATTTCTCTTCATCACTCGCTTTTCCATCACCACTTCACAACTTGACAAGGACAAAGGTGCGTTATGCTACGACACTTGAACCAACTCATCATATGACTTCCAGCCATTTTTCTCGAGCCCATTTCCTACAGGAGGTGTCGCAAGTTATGCAAACGCGCAGATACCTATAACTCACTACCTACCTACTCCACCTTCATCACAACATCCCCTCAAATACCTACAACATCTTCATCACCACCTCACCAACACTAATCAACCTAAGCATTCTGGAACATCATCGCAAAACATCACACATACAGTGGCGTCTTCTCTGGTATTTTAGGTAGGTTCTTTTACTTTATACTTCATACATACTTTACAAAGCCCGCGATGCGCCGCCGCCTACTGCGGCCGATACACACCGACAATCACACTTGTAATATGCCCATCCTTTCTTATGACCATGATGAATATACCCATTGCAGCCAGCCCAAAAAAAACCACAAACACCACATCCACAAACACACGACAGGCACATCATCCAAGGACCTTCATGGTGTTGATGATTCTCTCTTTTTTTCATCGAGCCATCAAAAAACGCAAAAAACATGGGGGGGAATCTATGATGCTAAATTACTTCTTTAAAGCTCGTCGTGGCCAACGGGCTCATCGTCCTCACCACCGGCATCACCGCCGGAGTACAGCTTGCTTGTGATGGGATAAGCAACGCCGGACAGCTTCTCCTTCTGCTCCTCGAAGTCCTCAGTGGAGGCGGTAGCGGCTGGAAAACAGAATTAGCTTATGACCTTCCTGTAAAGTAGTGACGCGGGCAAATAAACTCACCATTCTCATCAAGCCAGTCCTGGGTTTCCTTGACGGCATCGATGATGGTCTCCTTGTCCTCCTCGGAGATCTTCTTGCCCATACCCTCCTCATCGTTGACCTGATTCTTCAGGGAGAAGGCATAGTTCTCAAGACCGTTGCGAGCCTCAATGCGCTCACGGGTGGCCTTGTCCTCCTCGGCGTACTTCTCAGCCTCGGCGACCATACGATCGATTTCGTCTTGGGTGAGGCGGCCCTTGTCATTGGTGATAGTGATGGATTCGGCCTTGCCAGTGCCCTTGTCGTGGGCGGAAACCTTGAGGATTCCGTTGGCGTCGAGCTCGAAAGAGACCTCGATTTGGGGAACGCCACGGGGAGCGGGGGGAATACCGGTAAGCTCGAATTTGCCGAGAAGGTTGTTGTCCTTGGTCATGGAGCGCTCACCCTCGTAGACCTGGATCAGGACCACGGGCTGGTTATCAGCGGCGGTGGAGAAGATCTGGCTCTTGCGGGTAGGGATAGGGGTGTTGCGGGTGATGAGCTTGGTCATGACACCGCCGGTGGTCTCAATACCGAGAGTAAGAGGGTTGACATCCATGAGAACGATTTCCTCAGTACCCTCCTCGCCGGAAAGAACACCAGCCTGAACGGCAGCACCGAAAGCGACGGCCTCATCGGGGTTGATACCCTTGGAAGCCTTCTTGCCGCCAAAGAACTCCTCAATAAGAGCCTGAACCTTGGGAATACGGGTAGAACCACCGACAAGAACAATGTCATCGACCTCGCTCTTGGCAACCTTGGCGTCCTTGAGAACCTGCTTCACAGGCTCGAGGGTCTTGCGGAAGAGGTCGTTGTTGAGCTCCTCGAACTTGGCGCGGGTAAGGGTCTCAGAGAAGTCCTTGCCTCCGAAAAGGGACTCGATTTCGATACGGGTGGACATCTGGCTGGAAAGGGTACGCTTGGCCTTCTCGGCCTCCCGCTTGAGCTTACCCATGGCCTTGGCGTCAGTGGTAACATCGACACCGTGCTTCTTGTTGAAGGTCTTGGCGAAGTGGTTGATAGTACGCTGGTCGAAATCCTCACCACCGAGACGGGTATCACCGGCAGTGGCCAAAACCTCGAAGACACCCTGGTCGATAGACAGGAGGGACACATCGAAGGTACCACCACCCAAGTCGTAGACGATGATCTGGCGCTCGCCATCGGTCTTATCAAGACCGTAAGCGATAGCAGCGGCGGTGGGCTCGTTGACGATGCGGAGGACGTTGAGACCGGCGATCATGCCAGCATCCTTGGTGGCTTGGCGCTGGTTGTCGTTGAAGTAGGCAGGGACAGTAACAACAGCGTGGGTCACCTTCTTGCCAAGATAGCTCTCAGCGGTCTCCTTCATCTTGCCGAGAACCATGGCGGAAACCTCCTCGGGGGTGAAGGTCTTGTCCTGACCACCAACCTTGACGGTAACGGCGGGCTTGTCATTCTTGGAGACGACCCTGTGGAAGCAAAGTCAGTAGCTGTTTCGAGCATGTAGGAACCATTTGAGTACATACTTGAAGGGGAAGTGCTTGATATCGGTCTGGAGATCCTTCTCGGAGTATTTGCGGCCGATGAGGCGCTTGATGTCGTAGATAGTGTTGTAGGGGTTGGCGGGGGCCTGGTTCTTGGCGGCGTCTCCGACTAATCTCTCCTCATCGGTGAAGGCGACATAAGAGGGGGTAATACGGTTTCCTTGGTCGTTGACGAGAATTTCAACCTTGCCCTTCTGCATCACACCAACGCAACTAGGGTCTAGTTAGCTTTCTGTTCCTGGTGCCTGCTTGCTGCCCCACCCCCGCACTGCCAATATATCTGACAAAGTTGACACCGTGTCACCAATGTCCGCAGGTGAGCTGAAGACCAGAGGAGCAGCGGCGATGGGGCAGCTCCAGCATTCGGCGAGACCGTTGACTGTGTGGACTTACGAGTAGGTGGTGCCCAAATCCTGTGGAAAACTCGTCGTCAGCAATTGTCACACCCAGAGGTTTGAGGAAGCTTTTGGAGGGGCGGAACGTACAATACCGATAACAGTGCCGTAGTCCTGAACATCGTCTGCTTTTACTTGCTGGACGAAGCCAGCAGAGAAGAGGAGGGCGAAAAACCCAATGATGCTGAGGCCGAGGGCCCAGCTCCGCGATCGACGTTCCATGCCGAAGGCTGTGTGTGTGTGTGTGAAAAGGAAGAAAAAAGACTCTTGTTTTCCTGCTAGCAGGAGTCGACAAAGAGTATAAAAAAAGGAATGCCAACTGTGGGCTTGTCGTCAAATACCAATCCTACCAGTTGACCAGGCAAGAGAGGACGATGATGTACCGGAGTGGTGGATCAATCGTTGGGATTGGGGAGAGGAAAAGGAAAAAGGACGAGAGCAGAAGCTGACTTGTATTCTTTAAATTTTTGGTGGTGAATGGGACATCTGTCCTTATTCTGGGCTCTAGCCACCTCACACTTTAGCACTGGCCGCCAGCAGCCCGCGCCCACCTTCCGGGCCTTGCAGGGCCTGCCAATCGATTCACTTGGTCGGTTTGCCCCGCCACACAACCTTGGGAGCAAAAGTATCGGTGACTTGCAGCCTTGAGCTCCTCCCACCGATTACCCCGCAGATTGACCTCTTGCTCCCAGTCACTGGTACTTGAGCCTCTTGACTGTTCTACACTAGTATCTTGCCATCCATTCAACTGCACCTGGAGCGCCCTGGAGCTTCTCAATGCGCCGCCTGTAACCTCGAAGTCGAAGGCCAGCTATCCAATAATCGACCGGGCTCTCATCAGTACGATCACCACTTGCCAGATCATCCAATCCGCTAGCTTGTTCTAGATCTTGTCTCAGACTGTCCTGAACCTGTTTGCCTCTGCCTTTCCCTCCACCCAAATGTTGCCCTGACACGGCATGCTCTCAGCGTCCAACTGAAGCTTCTACACGATTCTGTCCGCCCACCAGAACCTTGAAACATGGAACTGCAAGCTGTTCATTGGCGTCTCGACACCCCACATAATGGCAGCCCACGGGCCACCAGTCGGCACCGACCCCTGCCTGCTCAAGTGCCAGAGTGGCCTTTTCCAAAGTTGCGGCTTGCGGCTGTCCGCTTCCCGCTTTTGGTGCTGATACAAGTGGGGACATCTTGGCACTACCAAGCTGAATTGATTGATGAGGCGACATGCCAATTCCAACGACATCTCCTCTCCCAGGACAGGTTACAGGCATTGACAAATGGCATCAAGCTGCATTGCTGAGTCTATATCGCTGAACAACTTTGCTGTTTTCACTTCTTCCTCTTCCTATCAAGAATCTCTTCGCGATATCTAGCATGACGTTCTCGTGATGTATCGAGCCTTCTAATAAGAACCCCTCCATCGATACTATGATGATTATCACTCCAACAAGCCAGCCGCAATAGTCTCTCCCCCACTTCTCAGAACCACCCTCTGCCCAGCCTCCAACGGAACCTGCTCATCCAACTCCACCCTCACCCTCGCAACTTGTCCCGGCTTCACCAACCTGGGATTCTTCTTCGTCACCGAGCCCGTGACCTTGTCCAGCAGTGCGGGCATCGCCGTGATCTTCCCTGCGGCGTGCAACCGTCCTCGGTGAACGTCCACCTGCATCGGCATCAAAAAGTCAAAAGCCAGCGCCTTCAAGGCGAATGTCTTCTCCTTGGGGATTGGCTTGCTGGGGTCGCAGATGATGTCGCCGGATCTGACGTGCATGGGGTCAATGTGGCTCAGATGTAGCACCACGCTCTGACCCGCCACCGCCCACTCGGCCGGAGCATCATCCACCAGAATTGACTTGATGAAGGCCTTTTCTGTGGCCGGCTGGACCAGAACGGCGTCACCCATTTGTAGAGACCCAGCATCAACCCGGCCCGAGACTGTGACCTGGCTCTGCTGTGTGCGGAAGACCTCCGAGATATTTATTCTGAGGGGCTTTTCCATCGCCCTGGCACTTGGCTCTGAAAGTTCAAGCTCTTCGATCAAGGTGGGGCCAGTGTACCACGACACGGCAGGGTTCTCAGATCTTTTGACCATATTGTCGCCGTGGAGACCGGATACTGGGACGAAAGCGATATTCCTCTTCTGGAAGCCGGTTGCAGACAAAAAGCCAGATACCTGGTCCTTGATCTCGTCGAATCTTTCCTGCGACCAATC